TATCATTTGAGAAATGTTTAAATTTTCTAAAGAACAATACCACGAAATCAGAAATAAACCTTTCCAGACAGATCAATAAAAATGTGTCGAATTTGTACAAACCAATGCTTTTACATTCTATAATAGTTTTTACAAATTAATATTCTATGGATTCTGCTATCAACGATATTTTAGCGTTGCCTTTTTTTAGAATTCTTGGGATCAGCCCATTTCAAGATACCCCAAAATATGGAATTCTTTAGCGATATAGATGGCACTTTATTAATATATTTGCACAGAATTAAATTAGTGGATTTCGTAAATAAAGAAAATCGAATTCACGTATGAAAAAGAAACAAATAAAACCTTAACTTTTCTTCATATTCTTTTAATTTGAACGGATGCCGGTTTAAATTGAACGTATTTTAACGTAAGTTACCAAATAAAAATAACTTAAACGAACTAAAATAACTTCATAAAATTTTAATCACCTCACAATTATGGAATAATTATAGGTTTTTATTGAAGACTTCTTAGCATTTGCACCCCAAGGGGGAAAAAAAACAAGACCTTCGTGATGACAAATTTGGCATGGAAAATAGCGTTCTAATTTTTTTTCTTTTTTAATGAATATAATTTACACCATGACGGTGCATTGAAAGAAAGATTATCTAAGATTCCCCGACGATTAATATACGGTTTGATGATTCGTTTTAATCAGTTTGTACTGAGCCGATGTGAAATGCGTAAAACTTGAAAAACCATGAAAAATAATAAATAAATAAAAAGAAATATAAATAAATGAATAAATAAATAAAAATAAAAATTAATTTGAAATTAGAATCTAATTTCTATAAGGAAATAAAATAAAAATCAAGTGTTGTGTGTTCAGACGCTTAACGTGAATCACGTTATTTGTCTTTTTAATAAAGATTTGAATTTTTTGCTTTGAAAGGAATTTCTTTTTCTGATGACGCCGGCTCATCGACGAAGCATATCGAAATAGAGGTCTTCCAAATTGTTTCATATATTTAATAGAAATAAGTATTTTTAAGAGTGTGACATTAAGTTCGATCCATAATTGATAAAATGAAAACAATATGTATAGATATAGATCAGTAACAACATTCATAATTTTATGGATATTATTTGCCAATATTAAATCGTTAGAATTTTTATTTCATATATATATATATATATATATATATATATATATATATATATATATATATATTTATGAATAAAAATGACAATAGGAAAACTGGTAATTGCTGACGCGTTTCGTCCAATGTGGACTTTATCAAAGCAAAATACGAAAATCCACAAATAAATGATAAAGTCCACATTGGACGAAACGCGTCAGCAATTACCAGTTTTCCTATTGTCATTTTTATTCATAAATATTGTCTTCTACCGATTAAATCGGAGAAATTTTCATATATATATATATATATATATATATATATATATATATATATATATATATATATATATATATATATATATATATATTATATTATTTGTTAAACGTTTTTTAAATGGATTTACCGGCTTGAATATTCGAGAAATCTTGTTAGAAAATATACGCACTCCGGATGGATCCGGACGGAGACAGACACACACACACACACACACACACACACACACACACACCATACAGGTATATATGTGTGTGTGTGTGTGCGTGTGCATAGATTGTACGTGTGTATAACACTTTTTTATATGTCGCCAGAAGAGTCCACTACATATATAGGGTAATTGAAAAGTAACTCCCTACTTTATGTATGATGGACTCTCCTGTCTAACTATCATTTTTACAAGAGTCCATCATAAATAAAATAGGGAGTTACTTTTCAATGACCCTGTAGATGAGTGAATTGCACATCTCTATATATAGGAATCTTCTGATAACATAAAGGATATAGAATTTTCTTCCGTTTTAAATCTTACATAAAAAACACATTTATTTTATAAATTATGTTTACCTCACGTAAAAAAACGTAAGTCACTTTGTAATTGCAGTGTACTTGTAAAATACAAGAAAACTAAGTAGAATCGGTTAGGAATCGTGACTACGTTTTATCTTTATTTTATTATTTTTATTTTTTGATCGATTCGTAGAATTTTTTGTCTCCTTTTATTGATTTCGTTTTCTTCAATTTTTTTTCATGAAATCTAAAATTGTTTAACAGAAATTGTATTTTTTCTTGTAAGACCTAAATTACTGCCGCCATTTCAGTATTCCTTCATTATTATTATTATTATTATTATTATTATTATTATTATTATTATTATTATTTTCTTTGATTTCTGGCGTTTACACATTTCTTTCCGGGTCCTGCCCAGGGACCTAAGGTTACAAATGGCGTCATGACACTTTCCACTGACAAAAAAAAAAAAAAAAAGTTACATAGATAAAGCCCTTCGTAAGGTGTGGGCTGTACTTGTCAGAACAATTTTTTGTATCTCCTTGAGGCATGGACTTCCAGGAATCCCTTCAATTAGTCTACTGCAATCTTTTCCAACCAGTCCTAGGGCTCCAACTACAACAGGGATTTTTGATGTTCCCATATGCCACATTTTCGAGATTTCTATTTCAAGGTCCTTTTGACAACTTTTTGAATATCTTCAAAGATACATTGCAGTCAGCAGGGACTGCCATATCAATAAGGAGGCACCGTTTTTGTTTGTGGTCTTTAATAACAATATTTGGCCGGTTGGCCTTGATTGTTCTGTCAGTGTGTATTGTGTAGTCCCATAGAATTGTAACAGGTCCTATCTCCGTAACCGGGTCTGGGTGGTGTTCATACCAGTTTCTTTCAGTTTCCTTCCCGTAGAAGTTGCAGATTTTCCAGTGCATATATTGGCTTATTATTATTATTATTAAATAAATAAATAAATAAATAATGTCGTCGGACAAAAACATATCTCTTGATGGTTTTGACAAAATAAATATAAGGATCTTAAATTAAAAGAAGTGACCAGTCAGTATTATTATTATACCCCCTTAATAATTGTAAGCAATCTCATACTGGGTATGATAAAAAAATGTTTAGATAGAAGCATTAACAAAATCCCTGTCAGCCCCTATTTGAAAATCGGCATTGTGCTGAATTGCTCATCTATTCAGGAGAAACATAAAGAAAATACGAACTTTGTAAATTTTAAGTATCACTTAACATCAGAATTTGTACAAACATCGTGCTTATATTTACTACCTTGTCTTACACCAGCTTTCGGGTAATAATAACCAGGTAAGGGATTATATGAAGAAAGCAAAAGAAGAAGAAGATGATGATGATGACGACGGCGACGACGACGATGATGATGATGATGATGATGATGATGATGATGATGATGAAACGTTTCACCTGTGTGCTTGACGAAGGTGTCAATAAATAAACTAAATAGTTATCAAAGTAATCAAATCTTAATTATTAGATTTCTCTGGAATTTCTCTTTTCTCTATATTTGCAAGTCGATAGTGTTTTGTATTTAAGATAGAATGGAATGCAATCATTTGTGTTCATACCGTTCTTCTTTGTCAATTCATCATCTTCATATATCGTTGGGTACCTCGAGGCGTTGTAATGGTCAGCAAACCTGTCTCACGAAAACATTTACTTTCGTCCTTGTGCCACATCTAAGCTGCATTTGGAAAAATCACTATCTTCATGTATCGTAAAAGGCGAGGAATAAAAAAAGTTCAGTCAAGAGTTCGGTTGGCCGAATCCGAGAAGAGGATCGTTTCAAAATATTCACACACGTTGATTTTCATCAAGAGAAAAAAAAGCAATTTAACAATCATCTTTAAACGAAAAAAAGAACTTTTAATATTGCTTCTTACAGTTAATTGAAAAAAATAACTTTGAAATGGGGTGGGGAGTTTTGTCTTTCAATTAATGATCCAGATCAAATCTCTTAAACAACTACAAGTTAATTATTATTATATCTGTAAGGGGTCAACATTTATATGACCCTAGAAGTGTTTGACATCAACTAAAAATAAAAGCATGCCAAAAATCACAGAAGCTATTTATTTACAATCAAGATTTTTTATTCAAAATATTGAGTATTTAATTAAATTCATATAAAGGAAACAGATGCATCAGAAGCATTTTATTTTATTGAAAAAAAATCTTCCTTTTTATGCATCATTTTAAAAGTTTGTTTTTGCTATTTATTTAAATTTTAAATAGTTAATTCCCAAACACTTATATACTAACTTCGCTTATATAAATAAATATTTTTAAGTTATTTTCAGTGGTTAATTTTAAGAATTAAAAAAGAAGCAATAAATTTTAAAAAAAACAATTGTTGTCACTAGGTGAGTGCTGGGCATGAGGACCACACCAGGAGACACTCTCAGAGTGGGTGATAACAAAATTTGTTTTAAGAATTTGTGTGCCGTATTTCAAGAGGATGAACTGCTTTCATTGTTGCTAATATTTTTTTTATAGACGCTGAGTTCGTCCATTTTACTTTCTTGTATTTTAATTAACAAAATTGCGGCAATTCGTATTTGTGAAGCAAAACAATTTTATTTTTTTCAGAATGAAGTGATAATTAAAAAGGAAATAAAGAAAAACTTGAAAAAGACTTCTGCTCAGTTGGTAATAATGTCGCAGTTCAATTGAAAAAAATACAAGACAATTAGATTTTTTTTTTTAAGAAATATTACATTTGAAAAATTTAAAACAGTTTTTACCAAATATGACCCTAGAATAAAATTAATAAATAACTGATATATATGTGGCAATTATATAAACGTTAGAATTTAAATATTAAAAAGAAAAACAGTATGACCCAAGTGCAGATAAACGAACAGAATCTCTCATTTTCATTGAATAAGATAATTTCTCGTATTATACAAAAATAATTTCTCTATTAATGAAACAAAAAACGCCACACAGTTTTATAACATTTTTCATTATACTTTCAACTTCATTATACTTTGGGACAACTTCCGATAAAATCTAAACAAATCGAATGCTTTAATTTTATCTTAATTAAAATACGGCTTACGGCCATATCACGTTCAAAGACCGGTTCCCGTACGATTACCGAAGTTAAGCAACGTCGAGCCTGGTCGGTGCCAAGATGGGCGACCGCTTGGGAATATCAGATTTTGTAAGATTGGGTGTGCAGGCGGTGGAATGGATAATGGCTCAGAATTGTTGATCGGAGAGCCGTGTTCAAATTAAGCTGGGTTCATTCTATTCACTTTAGTTCAAATACTCTTGGGAAAGATATGATTCTCTTCTTTCCCAACTATGGGTTAATTAGTAAGACTTTTATTAAAATCATTATTATTCCCCCCCGCCCCGTAAGAAAAATTTTACAATCCCAAAAATAATTTCTGGCTTTAAATAACCGACAAAGGGTTGATAATCCGTAGAAAACGAATCAATCAATTAATTTTCATTATAATAAATAGGGTGTGGTCGATTTTCGCGCGCAGGTACAACAGGATTTCGAATGCTTATCTTTAAGCCTCTCTCCAAATGAAGATTGGCGCAGCATATTCTTTCAACTCTTATTTCCTCCCTAAGTTTCTTAAAAATAGCGTCACGGTTAACGAGCTCATCTTACGAATCCCTTTACTACCCAGTGAGTTCGACCATCGCCGACTGCTCCGTTATTGTGGCTTAATAAATAAATTCATCAGACAAATTCAAATTCATCAGAGAAAGATGTTGCCAAAAATCAGAATATGAAAAATGAAATTGTTTGGTTCTATAATTGAAGGAAAATGGTTGGGAGAATTTGACACAAAGGAAAAACGATGGTTAAACAACTTGATAAATGGGGAGGGTGGGGAAGTGGCAGAAAGAGAAAGGGTAGCTATAAATGAGCGAGTGTTGCAAAAAAGCAACGAAAGAAAAGAATTGTGAAGACCTATGATTGCTTATATTCTGAAGAGACATGACGCAGATAGAAATCGAGACAAAGGGACAAATTTATAGAGAATGCTCGAAAAAAAAAAAAAAACTGCCGTAAAAATAAATTTGATTCCAGTTACAACTTGTGGCCAATTTCAAAATTAATCCCTGAAATCGTTTCACAGATTCAATGGAGTGTCCTATTTTAAGATTCTGTGAGCTGAAAAGAGCAAGAATTTTGCGCAAACGCGATTCGCTTTCAAATCTTTATAATCACTGGTATAAATTCCGCGAGATATTTCATTGATTGCGTGGGAAAGTTTTTTTTTTTTTTTTAAAATCATATCATCCTAATGCAAAGCAACATAGCCACTAACATGCAAGACAGAAGATAACGATTGACATTACATATAAATATTTGAAGGTCAAATTTGGCCGGGAAGCTTGAAGCCGAAAGAGAGTTCCACAAGTGAGAAGTGCGATAAAAGAAGCTGTTAGCATAGTATTTACAGTTATATCTGGCCATTTCAACAGTAAAATATTGAGATCTTGCTACTAATCTAGTATTGTGCTTAAATTCATAAGGTCTAGGTACAATAGTCAAAAGTTCATCAGAACAATTACCATGAAAGTATTTATAGAAAAAGCACCAGGAAGCTATGTTATGGCGGTGGGAAAATGACTGAAGCCGAGATGCCAGGTCTGGATCAATAACATTGCAGATTATTTTCTTTGTATTTTATCAAGAATATCTCAATATATAGCAGGATCATCTGATCAAATTTTAATTTTTTCAAGACTCGTCATTTTGGTATGTTAATATTTACCTTTTTATTTAAAACTTTTTTCAATGAATTACAATAATTTCAGCAGTGTTTTTTTTTGTGTTTCCCAAAAGAAAACCTCTTTACACACATTCACAATTTCTTTTTAATAACTATTATAAAATAGCTGACACATGCCAGAAAAGCCAAGATGAGGAAAGAACATTTCATTTTAAAATTACGCTACGTGACAGATTAATATTAATTTTTGATACTTAGTGGTGCAATGTACAACTACATCCAGTTCGCGCTCAATATTTGTCTTCGATTTTGGTTGTAACTCTCATAGACTGACTTCAAGAATAAAAAAAACTTTTCTATTTTTGACTGAGATTATTTTTCCTTTGTCAGAAAGGAACCAAACAATTTCTTTAATTCACATTAATTTTATTTTCTATCAAGCATGTTCGTGAGATAATAATAATAATAATAATAATAATAATAATAATAATAATAATAAAAATATAGATAATAATAATAATAATAGTCTTTGAGTAGTTTGAATTTCTTTGAACAAGCATTTCATTATTAACTCACTCGTGTCATAGAAATTGCACACCGGTCGACAAGTAATAAAGGGTGTTCCAATAACTTGGACCGATTTTAAATGTGAATTAAGTTTAAGCGTTTAATGATATTTTTCTTTTTTTTTTCAGATTTGGCGGACATTTGGGCGATATTATTTTTTACACATAATTGCTATGACTTAAATAATATAATCCAATAAATAAATTTTCACCAGTAACACTGATTTATTTAATGCTGACTTTGATCCGTCTTAATGAAACACTCTTTATTACTCATTATGGCATGGC